TGTTTGCTTTTGTTTGTAGATTGTAAATCGATGCAACTTGAAAGAAAGTATTTACAAGAGTGAAAAAACAGAAATATTCTTGATACAATTGCCCTCCTGAAAAATCCTAAGTTCTTGCTTCAAAGCCCAGTGTCTTCAATGCTGTCGTATGGATTTTTTGCTAAAACAGCTGAACTATCTCAACCGTTTTGTTTGGACACTTTCTCAAAACCTTCAGGCTGAGACACAAACCTATACTGAAAAATATCATCCTAAAGTCAGTTTGCCAAAATTATGAGCATCTGAAAGTAGTACTTCATGACAGGTAAATAACAGTAAAAAGAAATTGTTTTTTTTTTAAAAAAAATAATAGTACAGGCAAACTGATGGATCCAGAATGAAAGATTCATTAGCAAAAGAGAAAACAGATCTACGCATCTGTGTGTATCTAATGTAGGATAGCAGCCAATACCTCAGATAAGCAATTTCTAATATTTACTTCCCTTGTCCTGATCTCAAAATGACTTTGCCCTCCAGAATACAGACTTTGTTCTATGGGTTCAGATGATCTCCAGTTCTGTTTCTGGTGTTAAATCTTTCATTTGAAAAGATGCAGACATTTAAGCTGCCAACATTACAGATGGCTACCTCTCTATGCCCTCACTTAAAAAACTAACAAAATTCCCTTTAACCAATTTGACACTTAGGTTTACCTTGTTTGAACTCAATAAGCAGTCTGAACTCTGTAATAATCTGGTGTCTGCTTAGACAGGCTCATTCTGTTCTTCTAAATCCAATCTGCATTGGATCTGCCCGCTATTAGAAAAATTCAACATGGGGACTGTATGTAGAAATCTAATTTACTTCAGCAAATACATTTAATCAATTCCACCTTACTATTTTCCTTTTGCTCAGTGTTTGATTACTTTTATGTCACCTATTAGATATAAACTGCTGTTCTTTTTATAATAAGTGGGTGATCTGACAAGACCAATTTCATGTCTCCCATTAGATAAAGTGACATTTCAATCCAGTTCTCTGACAAACTTAGATGAGGATACTGTGTAGTTTGAACACATGCACAAGACAAAGCACTTGTCTTTTCAGCCTTTCCTATCAGAACAAACACTTTTGTAAAACTGAAAATTTCCTATTTGAGATTTATTTAAATAGAGCAATCAATACTTTATTTCACCACTCTCTAAAGGACATAGGAGAACAGAAACAAGTTTTTTAAAAAATCCTTTTTTTTTCCTTCACATTTAGAGCTCAGCTAATTGTTCACTGACAGGGGTTTTGCTCACTAAATAGACAATATTCATGTTTACAGCTCTTTAACAAGATAACATGGGATTAACTGACAGCTTTTTAATTGCTTTCCCCTCCTTCCCCTCATAGCAAATAAACCTTGTTAGAACCATATCTGTTCAGGTAAAAAAAAAAAAAAGAAAAAAAAAAGAAAGAAAGAAATAAAAGAAGCTGGCAAATGTTCCTATGTATACATCATCCTCAAAATTAAGATTTAATTCCTATTCCTTTGTGATTTCAGGTTTGCTTTGCAATGTCTGATATTAAAATTCTTCCTGCTGATTTCAAAAGTTCTTGGATCTGGCCTCCAGTCTACATGACATCATATCAAGGCAACACTGCAGACTTTAAAGATGTTTACATAAGAAAGTATTCAGACTCCACATACAGGAAGTTCCTATTTAGTAGAACTACGCCTCCAATGAAGTACTGTGAACACTGTACAAAGTAGTAACCTACTCTACTGTGCACATGTCTTTAGGTCTCTATTTAAAGGCAAAGGCATTTTGGAAAAAAAAATACCTATTTGTTTATTTTCAATTTGTGTTACAAGTTTAGTGAAGAAAAGGAAAGACAGCACAATAAATGCGATGAGATTTAGAATACTGCATCCTGTTCTGAGCTCCCCAGTTCCAAAAAGACAGGGATCTCCTAGAAGGAGTCCAGTAGAGCACCACAAAGATATAAAGGGCCTGGAGCATCTCCCGTATGGGGAAAGGCTGAGTAATCTGGCACTGTTCAGCCTGGGGAAAAAAAGACTGAGAAAGGATCTTACTAATGTTTATATATACCTGAAGGGAGGTGGGAGGCAAATGGATGAGCAAGGTTCTTTTTGGTCATGTGTAGCAATAGGACAAGGAGCAATGGCCTAAAACCTGAACACAGTAAGTTCTGTAACAACATGCAGAAGTACTCCTTTATGGTAAGAGTGATGGAGCACTGGAACAGGTTGCCGTGGAGAGGTTACAGAGTCTCCTTCTATGGAGATATTCAAGATCTTGACCCTATTATAGGATACCAGCTTTAGAGAGGGGGTTGGACTTGCTGATCTCTTGAGGTCCTTTCTAACACCTGCACATTCAGTGATTCTGTGAGACGACTCTTTAACTACCAGGTTTGACTCTCCTATCAGCACAGCAATGTAATTCCAGGGAAATTCCACTTAGTCATCTTGGTTACCCCAATGCAAATGAGAAGAAAATTAGATTCTTCTTTTCCAACGAAGTGAGGGGAATAATTACATCACTGTTTCTACACATACTATTATTAAGCCATCAATAATTCCCAAGTAGACTAAACATTACATGCAATATCAGTATGTTTATCATTATTTATTGATGGTGATGATCTAAAATATATTTTGCTGCACTTAAATCAATCTATTAGATTTCAATTCTGCCAACTAACATTGCAGAAAAGCTGCTGAAAAGAATAGGAAATACAATTTCTTAATTATACACCATCAGTAAGAAAGCATATTTACTAATTAATAATTAGTTCCTAATGTGGCTATTTAACTATTGTCATCTAAGGTTTTACAGCACAATGCTTGATATGGGCCTTTTTAAGTCAGAAGGAATGACCTACAGGTGCTCTCATAGAAGCTCCAATACAGGCAACAGGGATTACCATAATTACTTTGCCACTCTACAAGTAGTTAATGGGATTACACCCTAAGGCTATCCAATTGCACAGAGTGCTCAATGCAAATTTTCTGAAAGAATCTGGATAAACACAAGTGCTTTAATGATATGCTTCATAATTTCATCTACTACACCACCAAACGAGCACTAATAAATTAAAGCACCCTAAATCAAAGAAATTGAGAACACTTAACTACTTTGGTTTTCTATGTCTCCTGTCACGAATGCAGTCAATCTTTTATGTGTCTCATTCAGTCTCATTTATCCCTCTGGTTTGCAATGCTGAAAAGTCTGAAAGATGCCTTATCATTCTTGGTGGGGTGCATACATGTCTCCTTTCTTTCCTAAATTCTATATATCTCTGGTATCTTCTACTAGTGACTAATTACTCTCCAAGCTAACTAACCCATAATCCAAGCTTCTTTTTCACCAATAAACTAAAAAAAAAATCTTAATCCCACATTTATTTTATAAACACTGTTTATAAATGGAAAGATCCCATCTTTCCATTATTCCACTCCCCATTTTTTTCTTAAGTATCTTCCCCCAAGTTTTATTTAATTGAAAAAACTCAAGCATACCTACAGCCTAACCATTAGCCTTCCTACTTTCCCCCCCGTGAGAATTCTACTGTCCTCTTCTCTGCCTCACTTTCATTTTTCTTTTGTAACTTTTAAGGTTGATTATTTACTGTTCCTGCTGTTCTTCAAACTTCTCCTTTAATGCTTCTTTCTTGTATACTTCCGTATACTTTCTATATTGTCTTCAGAGACAAGATCTATGGTACATTTTCAGATATATAACACTTATTCCATACTTCGCTTATCAACCTACATATAAATTACCTGAACAAAATCAGAAATAATTTGGGAAAAGGATTATATCATTTAAAAGGTCTGAAAAATTACACACTTCTATCAGCATGCAAAATTATTAAAGAGGTAGGGGAAATAAAGGAGTGAATCCAAGATCAACTAATAATACAGCTCCTTACACAGTCTACTTTTTGTGAGGAGAACCACCCTGAAGTACGTGCTGATTCTTATAAGACTGTATCATAAGAAATGTATCTTAAATCAAAAGATAAAACCTAGAGCAGAATTTGGAAAGCATAGTATCAAAAATACTACACAAGAATTAGATTCTTACTTGTGTTACTCCTTCACCTATACACTTTTTTAATATCATTAGAACAATTACATGTTCTTGTAGCTGCAGAGCCAAAAGAAAAGAATCCTATTCGACAAGGGACATGGTTTCTAAAGTGAGAGAATGCATAGTAGACGCAACTGTGTCCTTCCTAATTCATAGTGGAAAAATCCAGACCTTCAGTGGATTTAATTTCTGACCTTGCCAACTTGGATCAAATTGTTCTCAGGAAGAGAAAAAGCCTTTCATCTCACTTTTTCTTTTTTAGGCCCAGAACTGATCAGAAAGGGAAGACATAGCACAGTAATGTGGCTCACCAAATTAGGTCCTAGAAAATATCTTTCTTTTTGCTCTAAAAGAACAAAAATAGCACTACATTCCTCCAAAATATTAGTGTAAAGTAAGAAACAACCAAAACCAATTAATATTAAGATATTGTTTTAGCACCGTTTTCTACAAGGAAGGACATCCTTATGCCCATTTTATTCACATATAAGAGTTTCCTGATGTTTTTAAAAAATCTCTCTTCATATGTTGGAAAATGCTTTCTTTCACTGTAAAGTTTTCAGATTTTGAACTAAGTATAGTTTTTTAAATTTTATCTCCACCATGGAAGTAAATAGCCAGTATTAGATTCATATCTTCCAAAAAGTCTTATGCTCTGAAAACCAGAAATGCTGTCTGTACACTACATTTGAGTGAAATATTTAAATGAACAATCCTCAACTAACCAGTTAGCTCTGGTTTCTTCTGTCATTTCCTTGCTACGGCGGGATAAACTGCTACAATTTACATGATCAGCCTGTCTATTGAACCTTTTATCAGTTGTAAGGAACTATGGGTGACATCCTTAGTAAACTAGCAATTGCAGGTCCTCATTCAATACTCCAGCCACAAAATAGTGATCTGATTGTGAAATACCTTTCACTATTAGTTCTGCATAGTTCGATACTCCAACCCCTCCTTCTGTTCGAATCATGCAGCGATAGTTGCCAGCATCCCGCTTCGTGGCATTTACCACATTAAAAAGAGCTACAAATCGTCGAACATTGAACACTTTTATGTTCTTCAAAGGTGCATCCCTCACGTAAATACCCTAGGCAAAGAAACAAAAGTAAAAAATATTGTTAGTCACACTTAAAATAAAAAAAAAAAAACACAATGCAAAAAAAAAAAAAAACCTGAAAAACAATTCTGTTTCTCTTAAGCTTCCCAAGAGAGGAGGAAAGGTGAAGGCAGAAGTCTGCACTATTACTTTTACAGATGTTTACACCGCGTGAGATGCTATTGCCTTCCCATGTGAGTTAAAACATTCATCATCAGTGGGCAACCACTCATGTGGAACAGCTGCTTTCAACTCTTTATAGATTAGCTAATAGAGAAATTGGAGAGCAGTGTAACATTTTACTTGCTTGGCTTACCTTACACAAGTACTTAAAGTTCATTGGTTTTTTGCTTTGTTTTGTTTTTCCTAAAGAAGCATAAAACAGCATACACAGTCTCTATTTTCTACTCTCCTCCACATCTGCTATTCAGCTTACGAATTTGGCACAGCATGGAAATCCAAGTGTGTGGTTGTCATATAACAGAACCTACACCTGGGATTATCAGTGAGTCAGGTGGAAGAGACTTGCCAGGTGAATGATTAGCAAGGCTGAAGTTTCTCAATTTCCCAGTTTCTCAGCACAGCACTGGAAATTGGGCAATTTCTACTCCAGTGGAACATCTTGCTCTCAATTCAACATCTTGCAAGCACAGAACAAGAAAATTATCTACAGAAAGCTGAGGATCACTAGGCCCCTAAATCTTGACCTGCTGTGTCCTGTCATCCAGTGCATGTCTGGAAGAGGAAAAGAGAAGGGAGTAGATGGAAAAGGACAGAGGTGATGTCTTGCCACATCCTCTGACATGAAGCTGAGAGACAGCTCTTATATCCTCACCACAGCTCATGCTCTAGAGGGCCACAAAATAGTCTGGATCCACTAGGAATGGTCAAAGAAACTTCAGAAAATGTAATAACCTAATTATTACAGATGGTTAAAAAAATTATTCACAAAATCTACTTAAAACAGTTATTCAAATGTGTACTTTCCATACAAACATAAACTTTTCAATAAATTGAAGCCTACTGCCATTATTAAAGCATTATAAGAAACTGTGGAAAACCCCAACAAGCACCTCCCCAGAGATGTTATTTTTGAGAAGGCATATGCAACCTTATGGTATTTAATACCAATTACTTTTGGTAGTTTTCCTGAATTCAGGAACTTCAGGCAGGGCAAGGATCCTGCTAGCTTCCATAAACAGTCAACACAATTGGTGATGTCTGTTTCTCTGCCTTGGAATTTATAGTTTAACCAACAGAATTTAAGACCTATATAGGAAACACTGACTTCAATTTGTTATGGCCTTCACTTGTCAGCATACTGCATGTAACCTTAAAGCACCAGGTAAAACCAGAGAGCTACAAGAAATAGTTGCAATAAATTAAACGTATCCGTAATCACAAAACCAAGTCAAACTTAATCATGCATTGGTGCCAAAGAAGCAGGATAATTAATCATAAGAACTGTTTGCATTCTCTTAACACCGTAAGACAAGAATTATTTCCTCTTAAAAAATAAACATGGGTGACACATAGCTTATTAAAAGGAAAAAAGAACACCTATAGGATGCCCAAAGATTGTACTGCCATGCCTTAAAATTTACTCAAGTTATTACCTGACAATTACTTTAGATTACTGCCAGCTCCTAGAATTCCAACTTGCAGATAAACTGACTGCTCTGACATGGTATACATCGAAAACAAAACTTGGAAAGAAGCATCCAAAACAACTGTTGCAAAATTACTATTTTTAATGATTTTGCCACTGTATTATCATTCAAGCAAAAACGGTAGGAAGTAGCAGGATGCAAGATGAATAGGCTGTGTATGTTTTTGGAGAATTAAGATTATTTAAAGTCATATATATTTTTAAATTCTTAAAACAATGACTGATTAGTCCTAATTATCAGAGCTGCTAAGCAGTCACAGATCATTGCTTTAAAGAGCGTTTCTGCAGTTCTCAGACTTCAGACTCGTGCTTATGTTGTATCTACACATGATAGCTTTTTCCTTTTTCTATCTGCAACATCAGGAAGCTCTGCATGGGCTATGTCCTCCTGCCAAGAAATCTGTAAATAACTCTCTAGGAAACAACTTGCCATCACACATAGATTAATTCTAGCACCTATACTAGCTCAGCTGATTTTAAATGCTAACAAGAAGGTCCGCATTCCAGCTGCAGTGCACACCTACCCCTCATGTACGGCTTCTATAGCCAGAATTTAACAGGATCCTCACAAGTTACAACACAACTGAAGAACTGAACAAATATTTTAAGATTGAGAATAATAGAATCATAGCATTGCTCAGGCTGGAAAAGACCTTCAAGATCATCAACTCCTACTGTAACCACACAATGCTACCCTAAATTTAGGTACCCCAATTTAGTTCTTGCTGTCCTTTTACTTACCCGACAAAGGCTATACGATGCTGTTAAAGGGAGGCAAAGTGAAAAGACTAGGCAATGGCACAAGGCAAGATATTCTCTGTCTTGTTCTGGAAGAGCCAAGCACATGAAGAGAGGAGACCAAGGAAAAGTGTGCTGCATTCCCACTCCCTGCTAGCAGTTTCCTGTCATAAACCTATCAGAACCTCCCATTGCCTGCTACAGATCTTTACCTACACAGCCTAATCTCTTTCACCTTCCGTTTATTCCCAAGCATACCAATCTCACCTGATTTCAAGTATCTTAACTGCTGTTCTAAAACAGCAGACATCTTAATCAAATGGATGTGCTACACATCATATCCACTCACATCTCAATAATTTTGACCAAAAAACAGAGAAGCCTTAGCGTGTTTCATAGAGATGCATCATTTTGTTCAAATAATGAAGTTCCATGAGCACTAAAGAGAACTCAGCTTGGCTTCAAAGAAGATTTGAGGCTTTTTGATCCCCGCTGGAATTCACATATGAAACAGATCATTATGGGTGCCTTCAAAATTCAAGAAGGAGTTTCATAATAGAAAGCCTTTATTATAATTATTACAACACACCTGCAAAGTATACGTATATTAGTATGAATAAAGATCATGACTGACTTCTCTTAAATGTTACAAACTCACAAAGTGCAATGTGTCTAATGATATATTAGAACTCTAGCAATCCTACAGAAATCACCAGTATGACATTCCTTACCAGAGCTCAAAGGAAAAAAAAATATACTTCCAAGGAAAAAGCAGTGTTTGAAATAGAGAGAGACTAAAAAACATAATTTGTTTACTTTCCACAAGAAGAAATATAGCTCGGGAGAGCATGCCTTTCCTCTCTTCAGCAAATGAGAATAGTCACTTAACTGATATAAGCCCGAGTATAAATTAATGGTAGTCAAAGTAATAAATTCAAGCATAAGAAGAGTTCAATTCACAGGCAATGAGAAAATAAAAATGAAGAGAGTTAAACACAAAATATATAGGAAAGAAAAACCGAACTAAACCTACAAAGCCCTTCCAAAACCAGTTATTTCAGCAACTGCTAAGTGCAATAAAGAGCATTTCTTCAGAATCAGTCTTATTTACCATTTCACAAACAAATACAGAAATGTTTCTACTTTAACTGCATCCATACAGCCAGTTTCTCTTTCTTTTTTTTGGTGATTCAGCCCTCCTCTCTGACTCACTGCATAGCATCTTCAGGAAGCTGCACAGCTATGACAGTGGGTACCTTTATGGGAGAGTGCATGAACCATATTTCTTTTTCTATATTAACATATCCCTTTAAGCATACTGTATGATAAACAACAAGTGCTTTCTCCATGCAAATTGTGAACAGCTATTTCAGAATACCTAAAAATAACATATTAATACCAAATGAACATTTCTTTACTGAATGTATTAGAAGACACATCCACAATTTTTTAAAAATTTATTATATTTAGTAGCATTCACAAAAATGATTTTTAAACTCAAATGCAAAACTTGGAAGTTTCACAAATGAAAGAGACCATTTATGTTGTCAATTATCTATTGCTTTAACAATAAAAAGCTTCAATCTCAGCTCTTTTCAGATAGATGCCGAAATTAACTGAATTGCAAATTAATAATCTTTATGTGACAGTCCTCACAAATACATCATATCTTCATGAAAATAAACAAAAACCAACAGGTAATTGTAATCTACTAGACTCAATGCAGAAAATAGTTTCATGATTTTCAATGAAACATGATAGCATTGTGTATTAAAGACCATCAAAACAAACCATCAGAGCAACTTTGTAGGGTCTTTCTGGTTTTTGTTCTTTGTGCTACAGTTTCCTATTAAATTCAGTTCACCAGGATAAATACAGTTCTTTTTACTTTGCTCAATAGTTCTGTTGTGCCATGTGAAAGACTGAGGCTTCAATGCACATTAAGCCTGCTGGCTCCTTCTGCCTCTGGGACCTGGAAAACTGCATGAACAGGACATTTCTTTTGAAAGAGAAAACTGCCTTAATCATTTAATCCTAGGCCTGTTTGGAGTACAAAGGCTGCATCCCTAAGGCAGACCTACCTAACAGCACAGAAGAATTTTGACTGCAAAAAAATGGACCGCAAAATGCTGAGATCCAAAAATGAACATAACAGATTCCCCCGGTTGCTGAGAAACCTCTATGTTTTCAAATGTTCAGAGAATGCTTCACCAAAACAAAAACCAACTAAACAAAGCCAAACAAAAATGAATCAAGAATGCCATTTATGCAAAACAATGAATATGATTAATTGGTGAGTCACTGGTAAGAATACGTTTTCTATTAAGCAATATGTAATTTAGCATACAGGTATTCTGAAAAAATCTTAATTTAATCTTGGGATATAAACAGCTTGAAAATTCATTCTTCCAGTACCACTATATTAAATTCACCCAGAGACAGCAAAAAACACCCTAAAAATGCACATCATTTTTCCTTTCTAGGTAAGCTAGAGTGAAAAGAAATAGGCTGATGGTTATTTAAATTAGACTTACAGTCTCATTTAGGCAATGAACTGACACTAAGTCTTCTAAATGAACAGCAA